TAGAGCATCCAGCCTTCTTGTCTCCCAGAACACTGTTTTAAGCCTTTGCTCCTTAAACCACCGATTCTCCTCTTCCACCCTCACTCCCAGCTAGTGGCCTGGCTTCCTGTTCTCCTGAGAAAAGAGAAGCCACCAGAAGATACCTGCTCCAAGCTCCAGCATCACCTCTCCCACCTCCCTGCATCTGTGCATCTGTCTCTTGCATCATCAACTATTTCCTTCTTAACTGGCTCATTGGCACACAAACATGTTACCATGCTGTAATTTCTCCCACGTTAAAACAATACTTTTGTCTTGTTCCCTCATATTCCTACAGCCACCTCTCTCCTATGTCTCTGCTCTCCTTCACAGCTGAACTCTTCAAAAGAGTCATCAGTCAGCGCTCACTGTTTCCAATTTCTCTTTCCCGACTCTTGATTTGGAAGCACTCTGATCCACCTTTAGGCCCCACATCTCTGTGGAAATTGCTCTGGAAGGGCACCAATGACCTCCACATCGCTAAACCCAGTGGTCAATTCTTTGTCCTTTTACTACTCCAGTTGGTAGGATTTGAAGAATTGGCCAATCCCTCCTTCTTGATCCACTTTCTTCAGTGTTTCCCCACACCTTGCTGCTTGTTCTTTCCCAGTCTCATTTGCTGGTTCCTTTTCATCTGTCCCACCTCTAAATGTTGGGCTACCCAGGGCTCAGTTCATGGGTTGCTTTGCTTTTTTTATGCTCACTCCCTAGTTGACCTCATCCAGTCTCATGACTTTTAATACTGCTACTTATTCTCCAATTATATCTCCAGCCCTGATATTGCCCCTGAACTCCACACTCCTCTATCCAACTGACTCCATCACTGTCTTCCTCACTTCGGTAAATATACGTCCATCCTTCCTGTTCCTCTGGCTAAAACCATGAGAGCTGTCTTTGACTTCTGTGTTTGTGCCGTAGCCTGATACGAATCTGTGGTCAAAACCTACCCAGAATCTACCTACCTCTCAATGTTTCACTGCATCACCTGGTGTAAACCGCCATTGTCTCTGACCTGGATTATTTCAAGAGTCCCGAAATAGTCTCCCTGTTTCCACTCTTTTCTCTCTTTAATCTGTTTTCAGGGAGCAACCCCATTGATAACTTGTATGAGAATAGACATCAGATCACGGTGCCCCTCAATGTCTTTCCACATCACTTTATCAGCCAAAGTCCTTGCAATGGACTGCAAGGCCCTGCACAATCTCTCGCCTCTGTTGTGGCCACCCTGATCTCATCCCCACTGTCCTCCTCTCTCAGTCCCTCCACTTCAGCACACCAGCCTCCTGGGTGCCCCCAGGATGTGCCAGGCATGCCCCTGATTCCAGGGCTCTGGCATGTGTGGATCCCACAGCCTGGAACAGTATGACCCCTCAAATCCTTTGGATCTTGGCTCAAATGCCATCTCCTCAGTGGGGTCTTTCCTGATTACTGTATCTAAATACTCTGCACCCCAAAGACCCTTCTCTGTTTCATTCTTCTCCATAGCACTAGTCATTACCCAACATCCCGCATCTTTGACTTCTTTTTCTTTTTTCTTTTTGTCTAAACTTCACGAGGGTAGGAGCTTTTGTGTGTTTTATTGGCTCCTGTAATCCCAAGTCCTAGAATACTACCTGGCAAAATAATAGCACCGAGTAAATACTTGATATCTTAGTTTGCTCAGCCTGCCCTGACAAAGTACCACAGACTGACTTAAGCAACAGAAATTTATTTCCTCACAATTCCAGAGGCCAGAAGTCTGGGATCAAAGTGTCATCAGAATTGGTTTATTCAGAGGCCTCTCTCCTTGGCTTGTAGATGGTTGCCTTCTACCTGTGTCTTCACGTGCTTCACGTGCCTTTTCCCGTGTGCCTGTGTCCTAATCTCCTGTTCTCATATGGGCATTAGACAGATTGGAGTGTGGCCTACCTTAATAACCTCATTTTTAACTTAATGAACTCTGTAAAGACCCTATCTCCAAATATAGTCACATTCTGAAGTAAAGGAGTTAGGACTTCAACATGTAAATTGGGGAGGCACAATTCGGCCCACGTACTTGATTGATTGGTTAATCCATCTGCAAAGATGCATTGAGGCTCTTATGGGGTAAGGATCAGTGTTTAGGCTCAGGGAGAGGGTGAGGCTTGGTGCGGATATAAAGGGATGGGGGGCAGTGGAGTTCAATTCTGGGGTGGATGAGGGTTGGGTAGGGAATGAGGTGCCAAGAGTGAATGACCCCAGAAGAAGGTACTTGTCTCAGCCAAAGGATGAGACACAGGGATGGGGTTGGGGAGAGGCCATGTGGCAGAAGATGGTGGAATCAGTGCAGTTGAGAGGTGAGGAAAGGAAGAACTAGCCAAGGCTTGCAGAGGGGAAGGGGAGGAATCTCAAGAGCAGTGGGGTGGTTGAAACGCTGGGATAGAATTGAGGATGTTGAGGTTGTCACCAATGGGTGAGATGGCCCGCATACTTTGTGGGTCCTGGTGCAAAATGAAAATACAGGTCTCTTGTTCAAAAAGTATTAAGAATTAGGAATTTCAAGATGGAGACAGCAGAGCCTTAAACCAAGTGTAGGGAACACACCCATGAAGCTGGTCCTGCCCGATGGGATATGGATCAGGAATGGAGACAGATTAGAAATTAGGACAAGGTTGGGTAAAAAAGGTCTTTTCTCTTGCAATGTATAGGGAATTTTTATTGAAATATGGTCTGCCTTTTGCCATCTTTTTATTATTATTAGCAACTGTAATGTACACTCTTTTGGAGGTGGGTCCTCCCACAATCCTTAATGCCCTACATATGTGATTTTGATGTGTGCCAAGGTGTGTTTGTTGAGATCACCAACACCACTTGGTAGCAAGTAAGAGAAGGGTGCACATTGGGTGTGATGGAGATGGAGGAGAGTGAAGGCTCACAGGGAGACCAGAGCATCTCTCTAGGATTTAGATAATGAGGGTCTGGACTGCACCTGTAGTCTGGGGGAGGTGCAATTTGGTTGGAAAATAAAGTCCTTTAGAGCACCAACCTGCGGGGTGCCTAACCAAGGCGGATAAGCCAGTGGCCAAGCCTTTCCCATCCTGGTGCAGACCAGAGGCAGTTCAGATCAAGATCCTCCTCGAGGAGGGCACAGAGGGGCTGTCCTGGGCAAAGAGGGCTCCTGCAGCCCTGCAAGGACAAGCAAGCCAGGGGAAGACTCTGAGAACAGGTGGCAGGGGTGGAGGGCAAAACACCCAGAGCGGGGGAAGAGGGAGGAGAGAGAAGGGCAGGGACAGAGAGGGGCAGAGGGGCTGCTCAGCTCTGGGAGCTGGACTGGAAGAGGCCCTAGGTGATGGAGGCCTTCCCCCCCTATTTTCCACGACCCTGGCGGCAGGGCAGTTGGTGTTTCTCTGCCCCGAATGGGGGTGGGGGTAGTTCCGGGTATGCCTTCTCAGGATCATCCTGCCCAAAACATCAAAATGGGGAAAAGGGTGGGAAAGGCGCCCACTTCAGTTGCAAGGTGGGCTCCAGAGGTTCAGAGAACAAAAAGAACCCTGAAAACCCAGCAGGGTGCACTGGACGCCTCCTCTGAAGATTTGGCAGACCCAGATCCTGAGCTCCCCCAGAACGGTCCTGCCTTCCCTTAGCAGTCCACCTCGTCGCGTGGTTCTCCTTGGACTAGTGTCATCTACCAGCGTCTGGTCCTGTCATGCTGAACCTCCCACAGCGGGGCCTCCTGAGACCCCTCCCTGCCCACTCCCCACCCCCGCGCTCCCTTCCTCTTCCCTTTCTGCGCCTTAAGAGTTTCCCAAGCCCATTTCCTCTTTTATTTCGCTGCAGCCCCGCGAGGGAGGCAGGATTCTCCCCATTTACCAGATTTGACAGGAGAGAAGCCTGTCGACCTGGGGCAGGGTGGGGGCGGGGGGAGGAGGTAAGTGAAGAAGCCAAGGTCACCCAGTCATTGGCGGAACGCAGCCTCAACCCAGCCCTTCTACGGGCCGGCTGGAGCCCGGCGAGGTGGGCCCAGGCTGCTGGCCCGAGCCCCTTCTTTTCTCGGCTGGCACTCGGGGGCGGGCTGGCCACAATGACAGGTGAGCCTGGATCGGGGACAGTTGGTGGGGGGGGGGTGCGCTGCGCGGGGCCCCTGGCGTGTGGGCCTTGGGCGCGGCCGCCCCAGCCCGCCTTGGCGCCCG